ATAGGTTATGAAGCTAGAGCAAGCAATTAGTATTGGCTGAGGATTTCAACAATTTTTACATTACAATTTTTCTTGTCCATTAAAATGTGAAATACGTGCTTTCTTCATAGTTATTGGCAATCTAAAGTTAGTGAGGAGTGATATCAGCCATTGATAGCTCAGAACCATAAAAGTTTAGTGGCATAAAAAGTTTGTCAAAAGGAACTATAGTGTTTACTCCCATCATTTTTACCCTCACATAATTTTTTACCTTTGTGTAAAAAAAAAAATGCTTGCGTATTTCGCGCTCTGCAACCCACCCGAGCCAGCTCGCCGGCGCGCACCTTTAAATTTTTTGGATGGGCATGCGCCTCGCCGATCAAGCGAATGCAGTCAAACGAGCTGCGTGTGCAAAGTCTCTTCTTCTCAGGACTTCCCCCGTCCATAGAATATCGTGCACGAACACTCAAACCTGATGACAGGTCGCCGTAAGGGCTCAAGCCTTTAACCCCTCTATCTCTCCATCTCTACCACCGTGAGAATGTGTGCTCGTGCTGTGGCGCAGACAACTTTTGCCACTGGAGGTGTGCGAGGGCCTGTTGGGCCTGTCGGGCCAACCAACTGTTCCTCTCATTCTCTGCATCTGCACTGCAACACACGCTTATTAGTTGATTTCGGAAGTTTATGTTTCGTCATATCCGGCGAATGGATATTTACGGTTCCCTTGCGGTGCGCTACAGTAATTACATATACAGCAAAATTCCAACTCGCTGTTTTGAAGTTTGCCGAAGAAAACGGGAATCGTGCCATCGCCAAGCACTTCAGCGTGAATTCCTTCAACGTGTACCGATCAATGCAATCAGTACAGGAGAAAACAGAAGAGTGCGCGCTTGCTAATACAACTGCCCTGCTACTGATGAAGGCCTTTTCAATTATGTACCAACCTTAGGTCCTCCGGTATTGCTGTGTGACCTAGTTTCTTCCAACGTTGTTGAGAAGAGCTTCAAGAAAATGGGATATTCGAACCCACTGGACTAGAAGTGAGGGCGATGCGCTTTGGGAGGACAAAGGCAGTGATTGCGATGATGATTCTCTATCAGACATCTCGATCAGTGATTCCCACTAAGCTGCACGTGACCAGATCTGACCGAGATTAAAGTACATTCTAATTCGGTGAAATAATCAAGTACGTACGCTTCATTCGGACTCCAACTTATTTTCTTTTCTTGAATGTATATACTGCGTGCGTTAGGACTATTGCACATTATTTTGTATGTGTTCGCAAAATCCCCGCATAATCTGCATACCCCCTTTTCGGAGCTCCAGAATCACAAAAAAAAAGGTGTGCTAATTATGCGAGTAAATACAGTATATTTTACATATCATTGAGGCACAAAAAGCTGTGCAACTTGCTACAAAATTAATTACATATTTGAAATCAGCATAAATGCCTATAAATACAGAAATCAAGATGCGAGCCGACTGATGGAAACTCGTAGTGGAATAATCAGGGTGAACAGTGGAGGTGCCTCATACAGGCTGGCCAACATTTCAAAAAGAGAACCTATCTTTGTCAAAGACAGCATGTCGTCCTTGGCGTGTTAGTTTTGAGGGGGTTAGTAGTGACGTCATGTCCTGGTGGTGCATGTCCCTGTTGGCAATTGTTGTCTAAATAAAAAAAAAGAACTATAAAGCAGAGAAGTGCAGTCCTCGCTTTGTTTTGAGTTAGGTGGTAGTGATTCAAAATGTTCTCGGAAGGTAGAAAAAAAAAGAAAAGGAAAAAATAAAAATGAAAAAAAAGAAAATGCACAAAGTAGGAATGGTGTGCTGCAAAGCGGTGGCCACTAAAGACACGAAAAAAGGAAACAGCTTGAAAGTTTGAAGCCAGCAGATAGTTGCCTTGTCCAGCTACCACAAAGGGTTGTCGACGATAGCTGCTTACGCCTGTTCCCGAACACCTCTGAATGGGACGCATAACAAGAGAGTGGTTACAAAAAGGGGGGAGAAGCAGGCGGCGTACTTTTAAATGCCAAGATGCCAAAGGTAAGCGATACCGGATGGGGTCGGAAGAGCACGTGTTTAATGAGAGAAGTCATTGGCAAAAATATGCTTTCAGTATCCTCGTAGGTTGCCCACTCAGTGGATTTGTCTCAAGAATTCGGCAGCATGTCGGTTGAGAAAAAGGGAAATTGAGAATGCAAAGAAAATGAGCAATGACAAGAGAAGCACAAGAAGAAAGGAAAAAAAAGGAAAGTTGGGGGGGTGGTACGTGGGACGTTAGGGTTAACAGCCGACAAAAAAAAAAGAAGAAAAAAATATAGGAAAAAGGAGACGCAGAAAACCTTCTGGGTTGGGAATGACCTTAATGATGCGTGGTAGGAGTGGTTTTAGAAGCAAGGGAAGAGGAAAGAATGCAGTAGTGTAAAGGTTCTAGAAAATAAGAACTTCGTAGTTGTATTCAGACACATGCATATCTATAATTAAAATTGAAAGAGAACAATAATAGTACGATATATAGGCTAGATCGATTCCATGTAATACCGGTTTGTTTAACTACAATAAAATAAAATATTTGAATCACTCACGCCATTCTCCATAGTAACGTCTGATGGTTCTTTTTTCTATGGATCAAACAGAAATGAACAAGCAGCATTTTATGATGTCTCTTGATGCACGAAAAGTTTTTTACTTAGTGCAGCTAGATCTATAACTAGTGATTAATTCTAGGCGGTTTGTCTGACGTCATTAGGATCATTTTGAGGTTGTTCTACTGCGGTGCATGTATTCTTGTGCTATTTGCCTTAATTTCTCGGTAAGTAGGGCACTGCTGTTGATAATATTGTTGTTTTAGACATCATACATTGAGCTTTGGGGGGTCTCGAAATGGAGCGCGCCACGCTCTTGGAACACGGACACAGTCAACATGATCAGAACGAACCAAAACAACGTACGTTTATTTAACTACTTTTAAAATCACGATATCGTCAGCCAAATTATTATAACATCAATTATGATCAAACGCCTGCGGTCAAACGCCGCCCCACCCCAAAAGAGACTCGCTCAATTCTCTCGTGCCGCCAGGGATCACCGCCGGCGCTACCGACCTAACCATGATAATGATAGTGGTGACCAACGTTGCGCCGGCAGTGGTGACCACTATCATTACCAGATAGTAGTGACCAATAGTACACCAGCAGTGACGCCGCCAGGCATCACTGCCGGCGCAACTATTCTAACCATGAGGATGAAGATGGTAGTGGTGATAAATGCTGTCAGGTCCCCAGATGAAACAAGTTTCCAAGGTAGCATCACTCATTGTTCTCGAGCTGTCCTCCTCACTGTCTTGCTTACCCCTCCTTTTTTCTGCCATCCACGTCTGTAATTGGTGCATTCCTTGCACGTGACCTTACAAATGGCTGGTGGTGTTATTTATTATTATGCAAAAGGTTCAAAACAAGTACGCATGCGCATATGGTTCCAGCCGGACTCTCGCCTGTGACCAAAGACAAATTGTAGCCAGGACATAAAGTGAGGAGGAGAAGCGTTTCAGTGTGCAGCCAAGTCGGCTAGGATTGTTTCGCTGTGCTCGTTCAATTCATCATTCTCATTTTTTCAACAATGCTGGGTTGCCTGTGAAACAACATAAAACAGTTTTGCTCCCTTCAACTTACCTTGTGCTATCCGAGATGAAGCACACCGTGAAGTGTAGCTATGAAACATTTCACGCGAATGCTTTCTTTCGTGCAGCTCCGTCAACGTACTTTGACGCGGATCTGCAAAGCGAGTTTATTTGTCTGTTTTTATTCAAATGCCAGGCTGCGCATCAAAAGTGTGTCTAGTGCATGCCAGTTGTTACAAATACTTGTGCGTATGCACATATACAGAGCAGCTGGAGGGTGTAATCAACGCACCTTCGGTAACATTTCACGCTTGACCAGTTGACGAGAACGCGTCATAAAGGAGCCTAAAAAACTGCTTCGGGACACTTCACCACCAGAACTCTCAATTTTCAGGAAGTTCCACACACCACACTAGAATCACCTGGTATCACGATTGGTAAAATGGGCACATTAAAAAAAAGTCATCGTAGTGCTGTTAGTCAAGCGTTCGTACCAGTCTGACCGTGGTTTTTCCTTGCGTGCACACAAGCCGGCTCTAATCACTCGTCACAACATCACGCACCCTGTGGTCACTGACAGGATCCAGGAAAAAGCGTGTTCACTGTGTTAAAGCATGAACAAAACACATTTGGAGAGCTGGACTAGTTATAACTCGACTAACTACGATATACGACGTGAGACACCATGGCTAGTGGTGTAAAATATAGAACTGAACATTGTTGCCAGTCGAGTAACGCACATCCTGCTTGCTTTTGTGTTGTACCGTTTATGTTCATATAGGTAACCGTTTATCCTATGACTCATTTCCTTCCATTTTGTTTAATATACACCTATTCACTGTAGCAACTCAACCCAAACATTTGCTTTTTCATAAAGTTTTTAACCTTCTAGGCGGCACTCTAGGAACATAAGTGAGGAGGAAAGGGGAGATGTCGCTACCTTGAAAACTTGTTTCATCTAGGGACCTTCAAATGCTCGCGAGCACAACGCCACCTACCGCTCGATAGCTGTTAGCCCTGAATGCGGCTTATGCGCGAGACACTGTATGCCATGAGGCACAAACAACTTTACAGGAGGTGTCAGCACCTCACAGCTTTTACTCTGATGTAAATTGTTATTTTACTTTAGTGTCTCTTTAAGTGGTGCTTTCTTCTGACTACTGTAATTCTGGAAAACCTGAGCACTGCTGCCGCCCTCACCTTTTTTTCTTCTTTTTTCTCTTCCCCCCTTTTCATTCGTCCCTTGTTGGAATTGGAGAGGGTACGAAGCATACACACACAAGCGCTACGCACATAAGTTGCAGTCTTGAAAAAGACAAGTACACTTGTCGAAACGTCGGCATTAGCACACACATGTTGTGTATGAATTCCTCACGTCCTCAACTTTTATGATTTCATGCAGGTGATCAGTGGGCACACTGGCTGGGTTCGCTGTCTTGCAGTGGAGCCTGGAAACCAATGGTTTTGCACAGGATCGAATGACAGAATTATTAAGGTGAGTGTACAGAAGATGGCTTGAACAATAGCAGGCAATAAAATGTGTTGGGCGAGTTTGCGTCCGTAATCACGGCTTGTGGCAGAGAGCACAAGACATGCAGAGCATGGTGCTCTCTGCATCTTGTGTTCCCTCTTCTCTGTGCCTTCTGACACACAGCGATCATGGAAACAAATACAGTCAAACCTGCTTATAACAGTCTATAAGTCTACAATAGGTTCTCAGTAGGCTGAAATCTGTTGAAACAAAACTGCTACTTAAATGGAACAACTGCTTCTGATATGATTGGTTTTGTCCCTGCATACTACAACCCTGGTCATCTCTCAGTAAACCGAACTCCTATCAAGTGGAACATATTTTCCCGGGCCCTTCAGGTCCTGTCTAATGATAGTCTACTGCATTGGTTGAAACGGCCATATTTCGGTGTACTTGTGTTTTTCTTATGCTACCCTTTGAAGCTACATTTACTCATAGCAAACATTCTTCTAAGCCTCTTGCTTTTTACAATGAGCACTTAAGACACGCTTGGGTAAAAATGTCATCTACAAGCCTGTGCACCGATCCCAATACCGCTCATTGGATCGGTGGTGGCGTAGGAAGGAGGGGGAAGGTAGATTCAAAAGTGGGGAGAGAAATTTTTCCCTTCTGGCTGCAGTTTTTCTGCCACAATTTGTTTCTGCTGTTAGGCATAACACGACACATCGTTTGCTGCAGCATGTGACAGATAATTTATTGGAGGCCGCTCATTACCGACCAGTTTTAGTTTCACTTTGAGTGAGCTCCAAAATCGAGAAGCGATTGAGTGCAACTATCGCCTGCCTAGCGTGAGCAGCTCTCGACCACGTCAGCTCACAGAATTGCGACGCACTTTTGCACAATCTGCATCAAGAACTACTTTCGAAAAATAAATAGGGCTACAGTGTCGCTGTACACTAATCTTTCAAAGTGTGCGCCATGGCTACACACTCGCAGCCAATCATCAAGAAGCATAGACTGCGGGAACAAATGTGGCAAAAGAAAAATGATAGGTATGATCTCATCGTAAGTTATTTTGTTGACTGCAGCATGGTGACGTGAGGGAAGTAGGGGATGATCCCCTAAGGGTCCCTTTTGAGGTTGTTAATAGACCCCTTTCGTAATTTGCAAGTGCGCTTCTCGGCACTGCATGTTTGCCTTACCAATGGCAGCACCTGTCCAACTTCAAATGGAGACCAAGTCCTAGTTGAACACGCTGGGGCTTGTCTATTATGCGCAGTAGTGTTGAGATAGCTAAACCTACATTTTTCAAGTCTTAGTGCAAGTAAACTGCGCTTGAACACTCTCTTTGCAAAAAGTGACTAGCCGCCATTAGTAGGGAAAACTGCATATCAGGAACGCTAGCTTTACTATTATGAAAAGGGTCTATGGCACGATGGAGTCACTCACACATGCAAACTTCAAAATTAATTTAAAGTACCAGTATTTACTCTTGTCATTGTTGAGGAAAGGAATGAGCCGACCGTGTCCCATAGTGAAGCCCACCCATCGACCTCTTCTTTATTCCGTATGCAGAACTATCTTGATGATGATACTGTCCCTCTTCCTTGTTTACATAAATTATTGAACATCCTTCGTGCCCCCATAATGATGCATGACGATGATGAACTCTAAACACACACCCATGTTCCTAGTACACAATACTAGTCAGTAGTTGTATGAGTTCCAAGGCAGTCCATATGGGACCATCCAAGTTTTCTCCTGTGCCAGCTCTTCTAGCGGTGTTTCCGATGCTTGTTCGAAATGCGTGCTTTTGAACGTGTTCCCCGTGATGGACTTTCGATGAGCACTTTTAGTTCACATGAACAACGATGATGCAGTCCCTTCCTCGATGTTTTTCTGTAGCTCGCTTTGGACAGTTTTCTTGATTTTCGTGTCTTGCTTTCGTTTACCTCAAAAGCACCAGTCTTTTTCTTTCTGTCTTGGTCTGCTCTCTCTTATATGCAGCTGTGACGCTCTTTGGCATTCTTCGCTCAAATAAGAGGGGTCATCCATATTGCCTTCAACCTTGACGTTTGTAACTTCCTAGAAGAGGAGAACCTAAATGCAGTACAAGGGAAGTTGCATCTGTGTCCTCGCGGTATTCCTTCCGTTTCCACTCAGCTTTAAGGGGGGGGGACGTGGGTTCTAAATCTTTTTTAATTTTTTGCTGAATCTTAACCAACTTCACTACCTAAGCTAGTTTTTCATGCTGATTTCAAATCTCTAATTTGTTTCTTGATATTTCAAGTGGTTTAGGAAATATGAAGGTCTGAATCTTAATTAATTGCGTACTTGTTACAGGACTTCTTGACAGTTTATTCGTGCTAAATCCAAAAAGTGAATGCATAATCTCAATGCTGGAGACTTGCTGTAGGGGGTGATGCTATATTTATCCATTTGAAGGCATTTTATAAGCAAGAAAACGGACGAACACTCATGGTCACTATATTACAATAAATTTCTCTCACTAAAATCTTCAATGGTAAGTGATGCTAGAGAAATATAAATAGCATCACCCCCTAGATCATGTCAAGACGAATAAAATGATACCAACTTTGTCGCATTCACTCAAGTTTAACATAGGAAAAACCCCCGTAAGGCCGAGTGCAATGTGCAAAAACATCGAACTGAGAAAAATGCGTTTGAAGTTTCTAGCAACTTTAACTTTTGCTAAAGTGAAGCTGCAGCGATATTATTGACATCATTCTGTAGCTCTATATTATAGGATAAATGGCCATGCTAAATTTCACTGTACCCACCCAGAATACTGCTCACAGCTTGTTCTAGAACTATAAAATAGTCATTGACTCAGCATGAGAATTATTATTTCTTTACTTTGTGGTCGTTCCAGTGCCTTGCAAGTGAAAGGAACACAAAAAAATCATGTAATAATGTTGTCCTTGGATAGACAATAGATTTACACAATGTTTAGGTCTAAAACCAAGAATATGCATTTTTGCAAAAATTCTCACTATTATTTGCCATCATGACTGTTTACAGCAGACCAGGGCTGTAAGCAGAGTCCCCTGCTGGCTTGTGACGCCTTGAAAGCCTTTCTTTTATTGAACTGCTGTCGAGATGCTCTCTTCGCGATTTTTGCAGCCTGCCCTTGTCCTTCTTAAGGCTGCGACACACCAAGTTATTGCCAGCGCTGTAGCCCAGCTTCTTGGCAATTTCCAAGTTGCTCTTGGTTGTGCCTTGGTTGAAGCGGCTGATGGCTTCGGCAACTGCCCTTTCAATTCTCCGCAAGAATGCATGCTGAGTTTTGGGGGCCTGCTGCCAAATCATAGCGTGCAGGCTCTCACTTGGGTTCTGGGTGATCCCATCGCTGCACCTTTCCAAGAGGGCATTGTCGCTCAGCCGCCTAAACACAGGCTCCAATGCCTCAGTTAAGAAATCAGGCAGGCTGTCCTTCTGTGGTGGCGGCTTCTCATTTTTCGCAAGAGCAATCTGAAATTTGCACCAGGATTCAGGGCCTTCAGGGCAAAGGTCATGCTTTGGTGCCTCGTCAGGTGAAGACATGCGGTTCAAAGTTGCTAGAACAGCCTTCTGCATACCTGGAACATCGTTCCTGTGGCTTCTCAATGCGTAGCCATAGTATGAGGTGATATTCTTTATCTTTTGTTACATAAGTCTGCCCTTTCCACCAAGTGAGCCACCTTGAGCTTTTTTATCTCTACAAGGGTACCTAAGGCAGCTCCCATACGCTTGTGTACATGATTTATGCAGTCCTTATTGGCCACCTTTATGAAGCCGTACACCTCTTTTTCTGTGAGTGCATGAAATGTCCTGCTGTCGCCGTCCGACAGCATTGTCGTATATCGAAGCTTGTGCTTTTCAAGTGACCGCTCAAACAAGCGTAGTGCTGCCTCCACTTTCATCTGGCCAGCATTACAATCAACATTCTTCTGGCACAGAGGGGCATGCTGAATAAACCAGGCAGAATGTCCTTCTTCTCCTTCCTTGGGTCCTGTGGTGCAAGCCAGGCAAAAGTTCGATAGCACGATATGGTCTATAACGAGGCCACTATACATCTCAACAATGCAGTCAACACATATATGCGAGCTATGTCCACGCGTAAGCCAGGTGCCGTCATAAATTACGCCGACGTTTCCGGGCGCGTTGCCGAACTCTGCATGGAGCTCCTTGGCGCGAGCAACGCTCTCCGCTTCGCATTCGGCAGCAGTCGCACAGCAGGCTTCTTTCATTATATTCATGTGACTTTGGTAACTCTTGTGGTGAAGCCCTCGATGCGAAATATTCATCCCGGCGAAGAAGTCCGACAGAGCCGTTGCCCCCTTGCCGATACTGTTGAAGGTCTTCATGGCACGCATATTAACTTCATACGGCCTTATTTTGGCGTCGGTCTCGTCGGCTATACGTGGGGACAAAAACGCTCTTCGCGAAAGTCACAACTGCCGCATGTGACTATGAGCTTCGAACACAGCCCGTACTCTTTCTTGGCCTTTGAAATAGTGACGCTTCTTTCACCGCATTGTGGGCACGCAACAAGTCCAAATAACGAGCGTGTCACCGCCAGATCAACAATAAAAAATTTTGTCCCGTTTTCTTTGCCACCATCCTCCAGATCAATATCTAGTAACTGGAACTTACGTTCCGTCGCGCACTGCAATGCGAGTGATGCCTTCAAGCCCGCTGCATTTCTCACGCACTCAGCAAACTCGTCCCCCGAATAAAACGCTGTGTCAATGCGGTCTAGGATGCTGCTGGAAGTGCAAGATGACGATCCGACGACGACACAATCCGATGAGGTGCTGTTGCAAGACACAGGAAAGTGCACCGCTTCGGACACAAGCAACCGCGGCTGCGCGCGTCGTCGGAATGCGCCGCTTTGGCGGCATCGGGCGAAATCAGCTGCACGTTGTCGGCTGCTTTCTTCTGGCAGGTGTTCCACGGGCGCCTCCGTTTCTCGCCGTACGCTTGGCGCGTCTTCTTCTTTAGATGAGCGTCTCCAGTCATGC